AGATTTCGCTGTGGGAATATGGAGATAAGTGTCGGTAAGATCAAATTTGGTCATCCAGAGCCCTGTCACAAAATGCCATCATAGGTTGAGAAAAGATTCCATTGTAAAGTGAGGAGGATATAAAAACTGGTTGACTCGAGACAGATTGATGATTGGACACCAATCTCCTGTCTTCTTGGGTACAACTAATAAACGGGAATAAAATCCCGGAACAATGGGATCGACCCTCTCTACTGCCCTTTTGACTAACAACTCTCTTATGGCCTGGGAACGAAGTTCCATTTGCCGTGGATCTGTTGGAGGTGAAAAGGCAAGAACATGAAGTACCCATGGATCCCTGGTGAAAGAACTCCAGATGTCCAGAAAGTGATGTAATCATGCTCCCACTGCTTCCCCGCCAATGGAATAGTCACTGATGCCGTTATCAATGGTCCACCCGAGTCAAAGATCCTCAAGAATACAGACAGATTCTATAATGGGAATCAAAGGACGTGGGTGGGAAACACTACAAGTCGACACTCCCAAATTAAAGCCAGAACGGCCAGAAGCCAACGATGATAAAGAAGAATGTAACCAATTCATGTTTCTAACTCAGGCAAACAACATGGGATGGAGAAAAGGTGCTTCCCATAACTCCCTGAGGGCAGAAGATGGTAAACATTTTCTAACAGACATCTCTACCTAATAAATCCCAACAACAAACCAGCCAGGAAACCAGAGAAAGAACTGAAGAAGACAATCTGATTGCGGTAGACATCAACAAAATCCCCAACTCATCCTCAAATTGCTGAGGGGAACGTTGCTGAGGAAATACCTCAGGAGGGTCGTAAGAGCAAGATGAATCGAGAAAACTGTGATCTTTTTGAAGTGATCAAAGGTTCCAAGCTAGACCCCCATCAGTCCAAAAGGGAGTCCATCCTTTGAGAATCTAAATATACCTCCTCCTGGCAGAAATAAGCCAAAGTATGCTGTTCCAGTAAATGTGGGGGACAAGGCATAGCTATCCCGTTATATAAATGAGCAGCAAATCTCCCTGCATGAACTTGAATATCAGGAGAAGGAGGAAAAACCAAGTAATCACTTGCTGTCCTTTCTGCCAACAAGGAAGGAGTAGAGTCAAATGCAGTAGGAGAGACCCCAAAAACTTCACATGCTCAAGTAACCAACTGAAGAAGAGGGTCTGCAGGTGGCTGGTCACAATGATCCTCTGTTGAGGCCGACCCAGTAAAAGAAGGAGCTGGAAAAAGTGAGTCTAAATTCTCCCCAACTGGTCCCAGATCATTTGCAACATCCACCTCAGGACCCCCAGAGAGACACCCTAGGTCCGCATATATGTCTTCATCTCACAACAAATTATATCATGGACAACTTTGACTGAGAGTGATCCCTCCCCTAGCTGTTGACCAACACCAGATAGCAGAGGTGGAAGAGATTAGGTCTCGTTGGCCTCCATAGTAAAAACATTAACTCACACCCATCAGTACATTTTCTTTTTGTTGTTGTTGT